CTCCTGCAACTAGGGCATGGCACCATCCGTCCTTTTATCCCCAAAACCCCACTAACGAGCCCCAGCTGCATCATTAATCTTGTATTCCAAAAAAACTCACAGAAGACTGCTGCTGAGTCACAACACTTTGGCATATCTCACCTTCCTGGCTTGAAATCTTCCATCCTGGACATGGAAGACAATAATAGCAGCAAAATGGCTGCCCCTCTTTCTTCATTTTGCTGTATCCTCTCCAGCAACGGTCGTTACAAATAGAAATAGGTTGTGCCAATTCATAAATGAAAAGAGAATGTTTCAACATGGATAAAGAAGTACTTTAAAATAAATGTCAACCTAATATTTAACTCTCACTGCTATTATATGTCTAATCATCTCCCTCAATGTTGAACCAAGAATGCACCAAGTGATCTTTTCAAATGAAGCCATTATGTCATGCCAGTTCAAGCCATTGATCAATTTCTAAATTACACAGTCTACAGATTTTAAAGTACTTCTTTATCCATGTTGAAACATTCTCTTTTCATTTATGAATTGGCACAAACTATTTCTATGTGTAACAACCGTTGCTGGAGAGGATACAGCAAAATGAAGAAAGAAGGGCAGCCATTTTGCTGCTATGATTGTCTCCCATGTCCAGAATGGAACATTTCGAACCAGGAAGGTGAGATATGCCAAAGTATACAAATATATATTTTTTGTAAACTAGATGTTCAGTTTCTTTCATGTTTACAAGCTGTTATATTGCACATAATTTGACTTTGGAGGGATTAACATTTTTGTGCATTCATCATTTGCAAACAACATTGTAGTACATGGAAAATGGACAGCTGAACAGTAGGAATAGATTTTCTGCTTCCTTTTTCTGCATCATTCTTGTAGCATCTCTTTCAACATCTATAGATTAATGTACAACCCCAATTATACAATGGATTAAAGCCTTGACGTTAGGAACCCATTTCCTTCTATTATAATACTTACAAATTTGGATATAGAGGATAAATGCAAATATTATGCACCAGAACACAGCAAATCTTGCAAATTAATTTATTAAAACATGGTGAAAAAACAGATAATGCATACTGGGTGATATCAAAACAGCTTTGTGTTCCCTTTAATAAATGAAAATAGCTTTCTTTTTTATTAGAACTGAGCATGGCTTCATAAAAACATAACTGGGTAAGAAAGGTAGAAAGCTACCTTTCATGTTTCACTTGTGGTTTTCAGAGCTAACACTTTGCCATGTTCTTTTTTCAGACCAAGATGACTGTTATCATTGTCCAGAAGACCATTATCCAAATCAGAAAAAAGATCAACGCATTCCAAAAATCATCACTTTCTTAACATATGGGGAACCTTTGAGAATCAGCTTGAGGATTTCTGCTCTTTTTTTTTCCTTTATCACAGCTCTGGTGCTTGGGATCTTCATTGAATATAGAAATACTCCCATTGTCAAAGCCAACAACCAGAACCTTACAAAAATGCTTCTCATCACTCTCCTGCACTGCTTCCTTTGTGTTCTGCTTCTCATTGGGGAACCTAATAAGATCAAATTTCTCTTTCAACAGCCAGCTTTTGGTATCATCTTTTCAGTGGCAGTTTCTTGTGCATTAGTCAAAACTGTTGTTGCCGTGGTAGCATTCAGGGCTACTAGGCCTGCCTCCACTATGAGGAAATGGGTGAGAAAAAGATTGGTCAATTCCATTGCTCTTTCCTGGCCTCTTATTCATACAATAATCTGTATAGTGTGGTTTGCAACATTTCCACCATACCCAGAACTTAACGTACACACAGTGTTCAAAGTAATTGTACTGGAATGTAATGAAGGGTCAGGCATCATGTTCGGCTGTGTATTTATATATATAGCTATATATATATATATATATATAGCACAGGTTCGAATCCCAGTAAGGATATGGCTAGCTGATGAGAGCTAAATAGCTTGAAATAGATCTATACTAGTCTCCCTTTATTTATTTATCAGCATAAATATAACACACACACACACACACACACACACACATATATATATATATATATATATATATACACACACACACACACACACACATNCGATTGTTGTTCCAGGAAAGGGCGTAACTAGTGTTCAACCCACAGTTGCTCAAAGGCCTCCTGGCCATGACTACCACCTGCTCTTTGAGCAGGAGTCGCAAGCCCAGGAGAACCACCAGATTATGCACAGGGTCTGTTTGGGACATAGTTGTTAACTTTGGTAACTCCACAGTTAAAATGGTGTTTTCCCTAGCAAACACTGGTATACAAATAATCTAGGATTTGCTGGCGACAATATTGGCAATAGTGCACTCAGGACCTGGAATCTGTCCAGCTTCTGTTGGCTGCTTAAATCTCCTTGGTTAGTCATTCAGTGATGGCCATTTCTGTCAATGATATAGTCTGAGGTTGCAACAGAGGTTGGGTATCTTGTATATGCAGAGACAGCTACCTGTGTTAAATGCAGAGAAAACTACCCATGCTTTATTAGGCATTATAAGACTGCCTCTGTAAATAATTCTGTTCATCAAGGGCTCCTTGGTGCTCGTTTGTTTTCTTCTCAATGACCCACAACATGCCCATGAGGGTCTAGGACAGGTTGGATACAGCCAGCTCAATGCAAACAACTTGGTGTGGCCAGCTTGCCACCACCAAGTCCCTTCTGCCAACTCACCACTCATTGACTCCCATCAATGAGAAAATGGGGAAAGCAGTAGGAAAACCTACTGGAACTACGTAGTTACAATTTTCAAAACTGAAGTGTTGTGATTTGTACTGAATTTCAGCTGAGGAAGAAATTTGTGGCACAATGCTATAGGATCACAGTGGTATAAGGCCAATTTGGAAAAAAGTAATCAATTCCTCATATGGAGTCATCCACTGTTCTCTCACAGTCAGTAAGTACAACTCCAAAATAGAAGGGAATGAAAATAATTAGTCCTAACAGAGGAAATAGCCCTATATGTGCCTGATCTTCTAATCTGAAAACATAATTCCAAACTGGCAATGATGATGATGATGATGATGTTATCCATTCAATCATGTCTGACTCTTGGCAATTCTGTGGGTCAGTTGTCTCCTCATCTTCCGATCTTGCACTATTTCTTTTAGTTGTTCTGGCTGGTATCAGCTTTGTTCTTTGTGGCCTGGTTTTCCATTTTCTGCCGTCTCTTCCAAACATAATTGTTTTCTCCAGTGAATTCCTTTTGCTTTATAATAATACTTTGTATAATGTAGCCAGAACTATTTATATTATCCTGTATTAAATCACATAGAATGGTGGAATCATAGAATCATAGGACTGGAAGAGACCTTGGAGGTCTTCTCTTCCAACCCCATTCCAAAGTCAGTAGTCTTTATACCATCCTAGACAAATGGATGTCCAATCTTTTCTTGAAAACCACCAGTGATTGACTAGCCATCACTCCAGGAGGCAAGGTGTTAATTAATTAATTTTTCTCAATGTCAGAAAATTTCTCCTTAGTTCCCTGTTGGCTGTCTTGTTTTGCTGCTTGTGCTGTCCTCAGTGCTTTGGAGAATAAGTCAACCTGCTCTTCTCTGACTACCCCTCAAGTACTAGAAGATAGGTATCATGTCTTCACTAATCCTTCTCTTTGTTAGGCTAGACATACTTAGTCCCAGTGGTGGGTTTCAAAATTTTTAGAACCTCTTCTGTAGATGTGGCCTGCTTTGTGGGAGTGGCTTGGCAGTCATGCAACCTGGTGGGAGTGGCTTGGCAGTCATGTGAACGGGAGGGAGTGGCCAAGATGATGTCAGCATTCCCAGTCGAGATAGAGGTATAAATTACACAGAAAAGAAAGAGGCATCCATACATCTGAATTNATTTCTTTTTTTGTATTTTGTAAACCTTGCCTTTTTTACAACCTTTAATAAAATATTTAATTAAAAAAAAACAATTTCACTTTGCAAAAATTTTAGAAAATCATGTTATGTTGACCATAGTTGAGAAAATATATTTTTTTTCCAAATGGGCAAAAACTAGGAAACATGACATATGCAATGTTGGATAAGCTTTGGGTAAGTTAGGAAAGTTTGTGGCACCACTTCTGGAGATATGCTGTGACAGAACAAACCTTCCTAACTTTTTCTTCTCTAAACTTTCTTCTAGGCCCATTTGTGCAGGTCCCCATGGTCATGAAAGAGCTGTACATGGAAGGTTTTTTAGTCTCACGTTGGAACGATAGGAAAGAGGAAGGGCTGAAAGCAATACTGAAATGGATTCAAGAGGTAAGCTGACAGTAGAAGAAGCCTGCCTCTCTCTCTCTCTTGCTCTCCCCCCCTCTCTCAATCCCCCCCTCTCTCCCTCCCTCCCTCCCTCCCTCTCTTGTGTAATCCAAAGGGAAGACTTTGATACGTCACCTTTCCCTTGGGAGCCCAAGGTAGCATGCCACGGGAATTCTCTCTCCTCATTTTATAGCAAGTTCAATCCTTTGAGATTGGCTGAGCTGAATAATTAGCCCAGCCAGTTCTGCAATTGACTACAGAACCTGGATCGCTCTTATCCAAGTCCATCACTTCAAAACCACATATTACACTTGCTGCCCTTTGCAACACTACTTGGCCAAGGGAAGACTTTGGTCTGTAGTGAAAAACCATGCAGGAGTTACTGTGAGCATTGCTCATTATTTTTAATTCTCGAATGCATTCAGGAATAGACCTACGTGTATTCTAGTGTAATGTGTGGCTGTGGGTGTGTCTCTAAAGTCCACGTGTAATGCTTTCCTTTCGTCTTGTCCCTTTGCTATGTTGAGCAGAAATGTATTCTTAGATTTTAAATCCCAAGGGAGAACTGCATTCATTTGAATGTTTCACTTTTTGCATAGGGGAAAATTAAATGCCACGAGGACATCACCAAGGGTTTCCAAAACATGCCAGCTGCATTTATGGGAATGCTCAAAGGAGACAACTTTGGAAAGGCAGTAGTAGAGGTATAAAAAGCACTTTGCCTGGCTTGTGAAAACTCTATAAATCGCTATATCTGCACTTCCTTATGGACTGACTTCTCTTCTTACCAAGAATGATCCAAGATTAGACTAATCCACTATACCACTCCAGCATGTCTCAAGTGTGGCCAAAACCACAGAAAATCAGGATTATCATGTTCAGTCTGAAGACAAAAGAAACAAATGCCTTTTAGAAGATTTGTTATATCCTTCTTTCAATAGATTATCCTTTTTGAATAAAAGAAGCAGTCTGAAAAGCCAAAGCATGCAGAATCCTTTCTTATCCATCAAGTGTTTCTACATCCATATATTGTGTTCATACGTATTATGGACAGTTGGGTGAACTTGTGTTAGTTGACAAATAACAGGAGATGCCATAATCAGTTTTATTTGTTACCCTATAGCTTTCACGAGCAAACAACAGTAACGAGAATAAAAATAGATAAAACACAAATACATATTTACAGCTATCCACCTTCAATCTTACTGTGGCTGCCCAGATGATGCCCCACTGCTAGAGAGCAAAACTTTGTGGGTTGTAGAAAAAACTTTTTGGGCAAGCAGAAAATCAACAAAGGAACATTTCTGCTAGAAGGGGAAGGATAAGATGTTGGCACACGGTTGTATAAAATGTGCAATACAGGTAGTCTTTAGGTTACGAACCTAGTTGTACCGAAATTTCCCACAAAGCAAAATATTAAGTGGCAGTGGAATATAGCAGCCTCTTCATCTTCACCATGCTGCACCGAAAGAACAGAGATGGGCGGCGGGGGTGGGTGGGGGCAGTTCACAGGGCAGAATGTGATTATAATCATGGGGCTACTGCAATGGTCATAAGTGTGAGGACTGGTAGAGCGTCCCTTCAGTGCCATTGTATCGTTGGATGGTTGCTGAATGAATGGATGTTAACACAGTTATGTGTTATCGATACCAACTCTGAATGCCACAAGGGCAGAGACAATGAACCTTGGGGAAATGAAATAGTGGAGAAGAAAGGTTACAATGAGTAAATCCCCAACAAAGTTGATCAGGGAGTAAATATAGGCAAACATGCTTTCCAATTGTTTTTGATGAATACAAAAACTGAGCAGTCACTTCAAATTATATTGTCACTCAATTTCAAGTAACTGGGCAATTAGATTTTTAAACTGGAAACCAAACAAGGTTGTATGAAGTGTTTGAGAAATGCCACAAGGAGCTTTTGCTTAAATGAATTCTTCAAAGTGGATGGGTAAGTACCACTGAACAAAGCAGCCCGGTGGGTGACAGATAAACTTAAGCCAGTAATTAAAGATTAAAAGTCAAACTCTTCTTTCCACTCTCAGTCTAGCCAAAAAGCTGCATTTGAGATGCATTTGGGAATACTGAATCTAGAGCTAAGGAATTTGGATTGAATAGAGTCCAGCTGGGTAAAGTCAGAACATGGATCAAGTGCCGCGTAAAATAATAGTTGCAATGAAACTTTTGTCTGGTGGCACCTATTGTGTGGAATGAGATGGCGGGATTGCTGCAGTAGTTCTTTGGGCCACACTGGCCATATAATCAACACCTTTTGCCATTGGGGCACCACCAATGTTTAAAAAAATATTGGTTTTTTGTGACTTTGGTCTGACTAAAGTTTTTAGGTGTTCTCAATAACCTTTACCTTAATTTTTGGAAGTTAGCTATTAGATCCTTTTAGGGCTGCATTGGACCAAGGTAGTAGGGCCAGTGCTTGATAGAATAACAGCAAAAGAAGACAGAGAGATGTCACTAATTATGATTTTCAAACATCGAAAGATGGATTCAGACAACATGCTTACCCCATATGTGCACAAGCTCCTGTTGAGGAGCATTTATCTAGTAAGGCTGTATTACTGTTATTCTTCTCATTTTTCCTACTCCCTAGCTCCTTATCTTTTTATGACTATAACTTTGCTCGTATCTTATGATTTATATTGTTTTATTAGTATCCTAGTATAATGTATGTTGCTTATTTAGTATCCTAGGACAATCACTAAGTCTTGTATCTTATGATTTATGATGTATTATGACGACTCTCCCAGATTAAATCACTTCTCTCCTTGCTCAAACCCCACATTGTTCCTATTCACTGTTCTTGCTATTCATTGTTCACTGTTACTTTGAAAAGTAGCTTTTGGTAAGAATACAGGTAATCCATGATTTACAGCCATTCTTTTAGCAATCTTTTAATGTTATGACAGCACTGGGGGGAAAAAGTGACATATAACTAGTCCTCACATGTATGACGGTTGCAGCAGCCCTGCAGCCACATGATCAAAATTTGGGCATTTGGCAACCAGCACATATTTATGGTGGTTGCAATGTCCTGGGGTCACATTTGTAACCTTCCCAGCTAGCTTCTGACAAGCCAAGTCAATGGAGAAAGGTGGATTTGCTCAATGACTGTGTGGACCATTTATCAACCATGGTGATTCTTAATGACCGCAGCAAAAAGGTCATAAAATCAGGTGTTACTCACTAAATGACCATTTTGCTTAGTAATACAAGCTCCAGTCCCAATTTGGTTGTAAATTGAGCATTACCTGTATAGATGAAAGGGGTGCAATTGCCACTGGTGATCCTTACTTTTAATCTGAATGTTCTGTTTTCCCTAAATATCAATTGCTTGTTTTTTTTAATCCTAAATTATATGCAAATTATTAAAACTAGAGCTGGGCGGGCAGTGTCCCCCAAGTCTTATATGGTAGAAGAAAAAGGTCTCATAGATAGAATGTTATGGCCCTTCTTTAGTTATGAGAGGCCAAAGGGTTTGTAGGAGTGCACTGGTTTTTATTTCCCACTAATCTTTCCGGAAGTCTGTTGAGTTTCATTTAAAACTCTTTAAGTGAGGTATCAGGAAGAAAACATCTGAAGGACTTCTTTAGCTGCAGAGCTTCTGCCATTGCTATAGGGCTGTGATGGCAAAGCTATGGCACGCGTGCCACAGGTGGCAAGCAGAGCCCTCTCTACGTGCATGCAAGCCATCACCCCAGCTCAGCTCCACTGCACATGCGCCTCCTGCCAGCCAGCTGATTTTTGGATCTCTGACGCACATGTGCAGGGCGCATGGACACGTGCACGCTTACGGAGCATGTAGTCACATGCACATGTATGTGGGGTGGGTAGGTTAGCAATCACTGCTATAGGGGATAAATCACTAGAGACCTCCATTCCCAGAAGAGTTGTTTTCTGAACTTTCCTATCCACCATTTTGATAGAACACTAATTTAAAAAGTCATTTGTGCCCAGTTCTAATCCAAATAAGAATATACAAAAGATAGTAAGGTATGATATGTTACATGCTAGGCTTGTTGCATTTGGTTTTATAACATGAAAGTATGGCTGCTTGCTGGTCATCCCATCTAAGCAGATGGTATCTTTATCCAAGAAATCTCCCTTTCAAAGTATCTATGGAGATTCTCGATCATCCAGGTCATGGTTGTCCCAAAGAGACTTTTTCCAAAAGGCAACTTTGGACTTTCTTGGTTCTTTTCTTTGAAAATATTTCACTTCTCATCAAAGAAGCTTCTTCAGCTCTTCAGTCTTTTTCAGACCTGAAGAAGCTTCTTGGATGAGAAGTGAAACACCAGGGAGAAAAAATAAAATCCAATTGGAAAAAGCACCTTTTCAAATCCTTTCTTCCCTGGGAAGAAGGGTTAATGTAGGGAAAAGTGCCAACGTATCAGTGTATGTACACAGCCCACTCACCCACAGACAGTCACAAGATCTTGAAGGCAGACTAGATACGGTAACAAGATTGCTACTCAGGTAAATTGATTTGTTCAAGCAAGACACAGAACCTTTTATATATATTTTTATTATCTTCATTTACAGACTGAAGGGTCAATGTGTATCTGAATACATATTCTAACTTGATCAGTGTGTTATGTAGAAAAGGCTATAATTTAACAGTCAGTCACGAATTAAGGACCTTTGGTTACATATGCTTCTTAATGGCTTCTTCCAGCTTTTCTTTATTTGCTCCGGAAAATTCATGCACCTGAAATACAGAGAGTTTAAGTTTAAGGCTTTTTACTTGAAGAGTCACCCACTTGTTAACAGATGTCAACATTAAATGGTTATTTAATGTTGATTCCATGATGATCATCAAGGAAGTGAACATCTAACAACCTCCTTCCTCAAGCAGTTTACCATAAAGAATATACTTTTCTAAAGACTAATGGTCACCCATCCTATGAAACACAACTCTGGAAAGCTCACAATTATAAAACCTCAAATCTGCTACCAACCATCATTCACTACACCATCTAACAGTGTTTCTTCAACTGCCAGAATTCCCCAGCTAGGGTTGAGAAACACTGATCTAACACCTCAATCCCCAGACTTCAACCTCACCATATCCCACTTGGGGAGAAGCAATACTTTCTAGCTTTCTGGAAGGCTAAGAGGGATGCTCTGAGATTCCAGAAGGAAAGGGTGTTCCAGAGAACTGGGCCTGCTTTGGAAAAGAAACTCTTCCTAGATCCTACTAGGTTTTTTTTTAACGAGGGTGGTAGTATATATTCCGATCTTGGTTCCCAAAACCCAAGGTTACTAGATTTTGTGGCCTAATTCACAAGCCTGTTTAAAGATACTATATTAGTATTATACAAAGGAATACTTCTTATTTAGTATTTAAAGCTCATGGGGAACAAAGTACAGGTAGTTCTCAACTTAAGGCCACAATGGAGCCCAAACATATAGGTTGCTAAGTGACAAATTTGTTAGGTGAGTTTTGCCCCATTTTGACTTTTCTTGCCACATGTGTTATGCGGATCACTGAAGTTGTTCAATTAGTAACATGGCTGTTAAGTGAATCTGCTTTCCCCGTTGACTGCTTTTCAGAAGGTTGCAAAAGAAGGTCATGTGACTCTGGGATACTGCAACCATCATAAATGTGAGTCAGTTGCCAAGCAGCCGAATGTAAATCACGTGACCATGGGGAGCTACAATGGTCATAAATGTGAAAAATGGTCATTGAGTCACTATTTTCAGTTATGTTGTTACTTTGAAGAGTCACTGAACGCACTGTTGTAAGTTGAGGACTACCTGGAAGTGTGGCAGCTTGGACAGGATGAATGTCACCATGTACCAGATTTCAGACTAAATCTTTTAAAAGCGAGAATGCATTTGGATCCCTGCAAGTAACATTCAAGCTCAGTGCATGTTTTGCCGGAAATCTGAGAGCAAATACCTTTTCATTATTTTTGTAAAACTGGAATGTTGGCATACACTTCACATCACAGTGTGAGGCCACATCCTAGAAGAGATGAAAAAGGTTACTCCAATCAGTTTGACATGGTACGTGAGCAGAATTCTTTGTGCCCCAGAATTCTTTTCCCTTCTGTCATTCACATACTGCAACTAAGGCAAAATGCAGCATTGGTGTCTTGCAGAGACGAAGAGACAAAAATCTGTATCAAAATAAGTCATAGGTGGGTGTTTTTTTCTGAGTATCTCAGAGGTTAAGAAAAGTGAAACAAACTCTAGTGAAATAAGAAACCTGGTAAGTTCCAGATATCACAGAAGAGATAGAATTCTTTCCAGGTAACACATTTTATTGGTTTCTCAAAATATAAAACACAAAACATACAAAGAAAAATAAAGATAATGGAAAGATAAGGAGGGAAAGGGGGAAGAGAAAAAAAAGGTGTCTTCTGACTCCTTTTGGTATAAGATAACACAATATCTCAAAGGTTTACTTTTATATATTAATATATACTAGCCATTTCTATAACATCAAGCCTATCTAATTGGCAAAATCGAAAGGCGAAGTTTCACTTTTTTACACCACAAGCATAAAGTGCAGAAATGGTTTCCAAGTAGAAAAAAAGTTGTATTATTTTCTTTAAGCAAAGCAGTCCGATTAGCTTTCTCTGCTAACTCCATCAATTTTTGCAGCCATTCCAGGTGGTTATATTCTGCTGGTTCTGCCCGGTTCGCCCGAACCCATAGCAGAAATAGTGGGTGGACGGGGCCACCCAGCTCTACAGCATCCCATTTCGGCCCATTTATTAGGCAAAGTGCATGCGTGGAAGGTAGAGCATATGCATGCGTGTGCTCACATTTGCAAGCCGGTAGGGAAGGTAAGTAAATACCACCCCTGAGCCATTTGTCTGTTGTGGGAATCAAAGTATCCTTCCATTTTTGTCCATAAAGTATTCTTGCTGCTATCAGCACATGCAACATCACACACTTAAGAGTTCTTAACCATTGGCAATGCAAATAAGACTTATGGAAATTATAGTCCTGGATATCTGAAGGTTATGACCATCTGCTGTAAGAATACTGTAAGCCACTGATAGAATTCCTCTTATCATCTACTCTCCAGTGCATTCTTTTCCTGCCTTATATTTCTATAATTTGTGTTATGAATGACTGGAAAATGCCAAGAATCTTGTGAAGACTTGGGCTACATTTTCTAGTAAACTCCTTCTTGCCAGAATAGACTTGTGGGCTTTATGTTATTTTGACAGCACTGGCCAAACTACAACTCACAGAGTTAATTAATAAGATTTCCTAGGCAACGCCTAGCAATCTGGAGATATCCTTTGCTGTGAAAGGAACTCTGCAATTTCAGCATTTTAGGATGAATTACAATTTGTCATGTAACATGTGTCAAATATGAGAACACTCCCCCTTTTAAAAAATTTACTAGAACTAAAAAACATTCCCATCCATTTTCATTCCACCTGAGGGAAGCAAACGTAGCTTTCTTTAATCCAGCAGTTAATTTAGATGTCATCTACTCATGTTAATGGTTTTCTTAAAGGCCAATTGCAGACACTATTATGTGTAATTTTAAGTTTAGGCAGTGTTTACTCATCAAACTAATAAAAGCTTATTACTTCTGATGGCCCTTCTTGCTTCCAAGCTAAGTAAAACAAGTTTAATTAGCACTTTGCCTTACACTTGGGGAAAAGCTGTACTTCATCTTGCACAAATTAATCACTGCCAAATATCTCACTATCAAGAGATCAAAAACTAAGTTGTACTTTTATTTCAAGTGACTCGGATTCATTTATATAAAAAGGCACACTTGCGAAAAATTTGTTTCACATGCTACATTTCTAAATTAACTTGTCAGACAAGATAATAATTCGATCAACAAAACATGTTACTGATTTAATATCAGGCATCCCAATGCAATTTATGTACGGTAGGCAAATATATGAAGCCTATTTGATAAATTATAATATGTTCAGCTTTGTCTTAATATGCTATGTGGATCCATCCAGAATGGCTCAATGCACTTTTGAGTCTTGACTTGTTCAACGAAATTTGATGAAAGCTGCCTAAAGTTCTCCCTTGTATCTGCACAATTCAGAAAACAATTACATTCACTCCTTCCTTTTAAAGGGAGCGGCTGTACCTCATATTACATGTATTTGTAGTATATGTAATATTTCAACATTTAATCTATGGCACTGAGGCCTTTGTTTGAACGCTTGATAGTTGAGCTAGTTAGAGTAGACACTGAAATAAATGGGCTTGGTTTCCGTGTTTGGAGAGGAGCCATATTTCAAGTTTTTAGAGCAAACTATTAAAAATACATGTTGTATTTGCTACTAAGCTGCTGCTGTTTAAACATACATGGGTTTTCCTCAATTTATGTCAATTAGATCAAAATTCCATCGCTAAATGAAGCAGTCAAGCAGCATGACAACATGGCAACCCCTTCAGTCCTGGCTACCGTTGTTAACTGAACCCCATGGTTGTTAGGCAAGGCAACTTCCAGATGGTTTCCCACAATGATGACATCGGGGAAACTGGCAGGAAGTTGTAAGGCCCAGGATGGCAGGCAGGTTAAGTGGCTACTGCGCATTTTTACATGGCTTTGAAGCCATTTTAAATTAACTGCACATACATTCCTCCACACCCAAATCACAATGACAAGTTCACTTTGTGCTATAAAAAAAATAAAGAACTTTCTCACCTCCCAAAAGCTAAGTTCTTCAGCCTTACATAACTAGAAGCTATACAAATCCAAGGATTTTTTTTTATTTTCAAACAAAAACAAACAAAAACAAATAATATATGAAACATAAACCCTCAATTAGAATTACATATAGCATGTTGTTTGGTTACAAGCATTTGTGCCTAAATCCAAAGATTTTATGAGAATACACTGCATTGCCTTTGTCCAAAGTTGGGAGTGCTACTCTAGAACTTACCTGAGCATCATCCACATCAATTTCAATGAAGACTACTTCTGGATATTTTTCAACCATGCTCTGTTATGAAAGGGGGGAAAAGAAACTGTTGAACACAAAGTATGCTTGCGGATCTCAATTAGCACTTACATACTATTATTCCTTATTAGGCATATGGAGCTTAAATTTAAAACCACAATTGATTAATATACACATCTGGGCTTTGCTAGATCTTCCTGAACGTCTCATCCAACGTATCTTACTGTTGGCCATACTATGCATTTGCACTTTGGAGAAAGTATCCATTTTTATCTACAAACAGGGTATGAAAAAGACCATCAAGTATTGGAAACAAGTAGGCAAAACCTGAAATCTACCTGCAAGTCCTAGCCTTGTTTTTAAAGGAATTCTGAACCTGTCTACCCACCAGTTTGGAGAAAAACAACCAACCTGGCAAATTAGGGGTGTGGTGGGGAGACAGACAATGACCCATCTTCATCTGCCAAAGACAAATAAATAGAGTCTTATCTTTTCATTAATTAAAGCAGCAAAGACTATGGAGACCAATTACCCTAAAACACTTAACACGTGGTGGGATGAGCTCCTGTTGATGCCGAATTAAATCATCTGCAATGCATTTTTCTCCCCCAGGCCTAAAGCCCAAGAGAAACTAGTGCTGGGCACCAAGCATCTTGTTTGGGCTTGAATTTGAAGCAATGCACAGCCCTAAGGAGACTGAGGAGAACATTCAGGATGCGTTATTTATTTACTGTATTGACTGATTGATTGATTTGATATTATCTATTATGATTGCCAGGCTACTGGATGACAACTGCCAAGACACAATAAGTGAGAGGACATGCAATTTTGAAGGATGTCCATGTTAGAAGATAAACTTCACTCTGAGGCCAAACTCTTGTTGACTTTTGCCTAGTGAAATGAAAAGGATTCTGCCCAATGAGGAAAAGTTAAAAGGTGACGTTCCCAGGGCAAAGTAGGAAAAAAATTGCTTGCTATTATAGCTTTCATACACTAAAAAGCCCAATTTTTGCCATACTGTTACATCAAATAACTGGACTAGTCATATACTACTACTCCATGTCTCCAAGAGTGTAACCAAGATAAGGAATTATAATAATTCTGCCAGCTGTTATAAACACATGACCTATTGTTATAGATTTCTTCATTTTGAAAGGAAAGAGACTGCATTTCAGAATTGAGTTGTGTCCCAGACAAGGAATGCTGTCATTCAAGATTATTGCAGCAGCTAAGATCAACAACCCAAACAGCTTTTACCTTTGATGGGGCCAGAAAAATCCACAGGATTGAAGATGCTGCAATACTGCTTACATTTTTTCCACAGTCCCTGCCTTATTATGTTTTAATGGACATCTCCCTTTAGCTGTGATGCTTTAAAAACTTGTAGGGCTGGTTAATCTTACTCCTACTCCTTATGTGCTTTTTTTTATTTGACTCAGATAATATCTAACATCGCCTAAATCTATCATCTGTATTTTGAGACTGACTTTAATTTACAGACCCCTGGAAGAAAAAACTCAAAAGTTGCTATGTGTTTTCCTTTCTCATGGTTTTGTGTTCTCTTGAGACTTTAAGAAAGTAAAGGACCACACTTTGAACTGTAGGGAAATAAAAGAAAGACACTCTGAAGATGTGGAAGTTGTGGATGAGAGAAAAGAAACTACGTTGGAGAACTAAAGAAGCAGCCAATTGTGTCTGGATGAGGTGAAACTAAGTGGGTCTGGAGAGACTCAAGCTACCACAGCTGAATAAAGAGTAGCAGAGCCTCATAGCTCCCAAAAATGCAGCCTGCTACAGTCAGCCGGCCAGCTGCAAGTTAATTGTAGGAGCAACCCTCCTACACACTGATAAGACCCGAGAAACAAAACAAAACAAAACAAAAACAATTTAATATAAAGGATCAACCACAAAGCTAATTTAATTACAGCAGAGCCTACTGAAGTATAAGGGCTGGAGAGAGGAGGATGATATACAGCTAAGTGTAAAGTAAACAGACATGAAAGCCCTGGTAAAAAGAAGCAGAATTCCCAGTTTTTAAGAACTGTGGCAAGTCAGATTTTGCTAAGGGAATTGTGGCTAGATGTTGGATATGAGCCATAATTTCTCCGGAACAAAGGAGAGATAGGCACAGGCATCTATATGACACTGGATAGGCTATCCTCATGAGTAGTCCATGGAAAATGACTTTTTTTGTCACCTTATAAGTAGAATGGCTAGAAATCAGGATTATATCAAGCACATACTCTCCAAACAGCCTTGATGGATGTTAGGCTCAACTAAACCTTATATCTTAATTACTTTTTTAGATTTTTTTTTTACTTTTTTGTATTGGAGAGATTAAGACATTTTCAGACTGGCAAGGTTCTACTATATTCATCAAATGAGTTTCCATCCCCTTAAAAGACGGTGCAAGTTTGATGTAAACTTTTTAAAGATACATGAATTCTTTTGGACTATGCAGAAAAAGGATGATTGGTGTACAGATTTTGGAAACCTAACAATGGATTAAAGGGCCAGAGGATTCAGAATTATACTTCTGAAATATTTAGAAGATATTTTCTCATGGGAAAATAAAGATTGCCTAAGGTTTTTTTTATGATAGGAATTCTTGAATTTTGGACACTACGGAAAGAGAATAAAGAAAATGGAACAATAGCCCTTAGTGCAAATTTTTGAATACCTTTCAACCAAGTGTTTGGACAGAGTTGTTACAATCCTTGATAAAATTGAAAAGGCCATGTTCCAATGAATTTGTAAAACAAAAACAAGCTGCAATGGACATCTATGAAATTAATTTGAAGGGGGATTTAAATATAATGCAACTAATTCTGATGGATGACTTATTCTCTAAAGATGAACAGATATTAAATGAGGTCATTTATTTGATTTTTTTTCTCTTTTGTATATACAAAGGAGCTCTGCTAAGATTTGGAAGGACTTTTTTTTAAAGTGACAAACAAAAGGATATATTTTATTTAATGATACAAAAGAAATTTGCTAAAGATTTTTCACTTTGAAGCACAAATGCTCAGCAGACTACCTCTGAGACTTATTTTTGAAGGAGTTAAAAGAATAATTTGAAAAACTCAGGAAAGTGTATATACACTATATTGCCAAAAGTTTTGCTCATCCATCCAAATAATCAGAATCAGGTGTTCCAATCACTTCCATGGCCACAGGTGTATA